AGATTGGTGTCCTTGTTTGGAGATCTGGGATTAAGAAAGGAGGGAATATGACTTCAACCCTCACTCTCACACTTGGACAATATTACTATCAGAGTTGAGACAAAGGTTTTATTAGGACCACTAAAATGTTATGAATGTGGCACAAAATAAATGACATGAGTTTTGAGTCCTGATAGTTTGGGCCATTTATAAAAGATGTTATAATATTTTAGAGTTCCTAACAGAAGATGTGCTATTACTATAATAGTGATATCTTGGATTTCCAGAAAAACAAACAAAGGGGTCCCAGAGCAAATCAGGCTTGAACTATCTCTAGAGGAAAAAAAGACAAAATTGAAAAACTGTCATACTTTGGGAACATCATGAGAATGCAAGATTCTTTGGAAAAGGCAATAATGGTGGGAAAGATGGAAGGTAGGAAGTAAAGAGAACCAAACACAAAATTGATTAATTCCCTAAAGCAGATCTGGGCAAAGTGCGGCCTGAGAGCCGCTCCTGTCCGGCCCGCCAGCTGTCGCTCCAGTCCGATGTTCAAGCACTTGTTCAAGCCCAAGACAGACTGGATTTCTCTCACTGAACAAGTTGAACATCAAAACCATTTATAGCTTTTTGTTTAAAGTTCATCAGTTGCATATCTTTAACATATAGCAAAAAAAAACCCTCTTTAGTATTTGTGAAGATTAACAAGTTTAAAATAAAAACAATCATAACATCACTGTTTCATTTTAATTTTAAGTAAAGTTGGTTTGGCCCCAAAACACAGTTCAGATTTTTCATGTGGCCCCCTATAGAAATTAATTGCTCACCCTGCCCTAAAGGTAGCCACAGGCTTCAGTTTACAAGAGCTGAGCAGGGCTGTTGGAGACAGGACATTTTAGAGATCATTCATTCATAGGGTCGCCAGTAGAATATGGTTGTAGGGTTGGATGCAATTTGATGACATGTAACAACAACAACGAAGTGTATAACAATAGCTGAGAATCATGAGTATCTCCATGACACACTGCTGACAGGAGGTGGGAAGACGAGCCTCACTGCAAGGTTGAAGAGTGGCTCGCAGACCATGAGTTCCAGAGCAAAAGGAAGGAAGCGTGGAGCCCGCAGTAACAGTGAAAAGTGAGTGGACAGTCTGGCCCCAGGGGGCTGGACCCTTGTTATGTCCACCTGTGCGGTATGAAAAACCCGAAGATTATAAAACAAGAATATTCAGAACAAAATTATTTTAATAGTCCTAATGTATACAGAGTGGAAATCATAACTTAATTACATATCTCCAACCATACAGTTCACACTATTCTCTGCCATCTTTCTCTTTTCACTTTCAATGAGGTTTTACCCTTAGGCCTCCACAAGGCCTTACACCCAAATTTGTCTACTTTTATGAAACAGTAGTTCCATAAGTCGCTATCCTGATTTGTTCATTTCTTTTTGTTTTATTCTTCATAATCAAACTTCCATTGTGAAATTCTTTAGGAACATGTCACTTCTTCTTTTCTTTTTTTAAGAAGCCTTCCAGAAGCTGGAAGTCTCCTATTTAACATTATTGGGGGGCCTTCCATCTTTTTGGCCTCAAACAGCATTTTTCAAAATGTGGAAACTGACCTTCTTATGACCTGCAGCGGTGTCAAACAGGATGACTGTAACCCATGGGGGTCTAGGGTGGTAGAGACATAAAATAGGGAGGCAGCCCTGAACCCTGTGCATTATACAGTACTACAGTACTCATGTTCTGAAGCATCATGACTACTAATTGCACTACCTAAATTTTAACAACAAAATCAATTATGTTTGTCTATACATGTGATTCACAATTTAGTATGGAAGTTGTTGAAAACTATTTTTTCTCTCCTTTACAATTCCTCACCAGATTCTGCAATAATCAGAGGGAAAAACTCCTAGCTTTCTCAATCAGAAGTGGAAGCAAAAGGCACTAGGTTGACTAGACAGTTATTTTTCCGGAGATTCCCACATGCATATTACTACAATGTCTAAACACCAGGTAACACTGTTCTTCTTTAATCTAGAAATGGCAAAACTTTATTTTCATTAACAAAGTATACTAACTTTTACTTCAGTTGTAATGCATGTCAGAATAGGGAAAAAGGCATGTTATCTACAAAGAATATTGCCTAGTTTCATATCTCAATCCAATAATTTATGATAGAAACAACCAAAATGTCAAATCAGGTTTAGAATCTGATTTTGATATCCTGGATTGAAGAGAGGTATTATTTCAGAGTCTTATGTCAGACCTTATGGAAAACTGTGATTTAAAAAACTAGGAAACCTCCACAGAATTTCAGTACACAAAGAAAGGATTCGTGTTGTATGGCTCAGATTATGTCTGTACCAAATTCATAGGGCTAAATACCTTTTTTGTGAAACAGAAAATATACTAGAATAACAAAACCGTAAACGATATTCCATTATTGGTCTTGTGAAATTCAGTTATTTAATTTGGAATTACCAAGTGTTTTTAAAATATACCCGAGTCAATCTTTTAAGCTTTAGGCCAAGGTAAATTTCACAGGGTAGAGAAACAGATGCAACTTTGACTGCTCAATGTACCATAAAATATTATATTAAATATATGAACACACTTCACACTTCACTGTGAAAAACATTGCTGCTAAAACAGTTTATATAATTATAAATGCACCACACAAGTGATTCTACAGAGTGTCAGACATGGCTTCATTCAAAAACTCAGGTCAGTGCAGCTTCATCTTACATATGAAAGTTATGTTAGCCCTGTTCAGTTGATCAATTCAAATGATATTCAGTGCATGCACGGGGAGAAGACGCTTACTCCACCTTCAGACTCAACACATTGATCCAGCTTTCTTGCAAACAGCCTTGTCTATAGGCTGCACAAACAGACTTTTTCTATGTAATAAGAATCCTGCAGAATGCATATACAAACTGTACCCATACACAAATTCCAGAAACTGTATACAGTATTCCTTTCTGAAGAGCCAGACCAACTCCTGAAGGCTGAGAGAGAAAGAAGTCAGCATTACCCAAATCTCTCCTCCATACACTGATGAACCTGTTTTGATTTACCAAACAGGATTCCTGCACCTGAAGTCATAATAACTCTGCATGTGATAATTATTCTTAGATATATAGAGCAAACACCATGACTGAGTATCCTGTGAAGAAATCATAATGGAGACAGGATTTGAACACTGTTCTTGATTGAAATTTTACACTGGATTCCCTGGGAAACATCAGCTTTGTTTAAACAATTTAAAAAGAACTTACAAATAAGATTCAAGTAATACTGAATTTTGTTACCTATCACTTGTTATGTACAGTTGAATCTTTTGTTTTTGTACCCACTAAGTTCATCACGCTTTTGTTCAATTGTGGCATGCATAGGATAAGGCTGCAAAGACTATGCACACTTACCCTTAATAAAATCCAATTAAAATAAGAAGCAGTTACAGAAGCCATTAAATCTAACATGGCATGGCACATTTATTTATTTTTCAAAAGTACAAAATGTTTAAAACTAATAGCCAGGTAGACAAGAATACTGTATTTTGTTTTGTTTATTTTGTGAAACATCGTCAAATTTTATTTAAAATAATTTCAGAGGAAAAAAGGGGTCATGACAATATTTCCACATTTCACAGGGAGTACTAATCCACCCTTTTGTCTCTTTTGCACTCATATGGTGCAGCCATGCAGTTAAACTGGATGACTAAGACTGCAAAACTTATGTAGACTTCCTTGGGAATAGTATACATTCCAGTGAAATGAAGTATGTATGTAGGTATGATTATATTTATTTATAGTATTTGTAGGCTGTCTTTCTCCTAATGAGGGTGCTCACATTCAAGAAAGTATGCAAAGGATTACAGTTGAATTTGCATTATATAATCCTGAGGAAACACTCATAGTAGGATAATACTCAAATCTTATCATAATGATGAAGTTTAAATCTTAGTCCTTAATTCATTCATTGCTGTTTTTGCTATTGTAATTCTCTGGGATGCAGCACCTTATGTTAAAACTTTCATACCACTTAACAAAGAAAAACAATAATGTTTCCCAGATTATGTATTCAAGGAGAAAAGACAAAGCACACAAAAATGCTGCATAAATGCTAACATACTACTTCTCCTGTTTGCAGTTCTGGGCATTTCAGCATGAATAAAAGTACTATATGCTGTTTCCACATTTTCATGGCAGCCCTGAAAATGCATAATGCTGAGTCTTGCAACAGTGAGAATTCAAATATTTTAGCATAGTGAAATACTCAGGAAACAAAAGCTGATGCTATTAACAAATATATACCAGTTATCAATTGGCACCACAAAACAACAAAATAGTAAAGAGGGTTTAAGAATCCAAAGTTTAGGGGAAATACTCAGGCTCCAGAGACACAGATATTATTTTTAAGTAGTGAAAGTGTGTAAGATCGTGTTGATACTGCCTTAGGAACACCCTGTTGCTCTCATGGTAAGGGCTACAAAAGGTGCATCTGTTTCTCCTTTTCCTGTTTAGACGTTTGACGTGGAGCTTGTAATGCACACTGACAAATAAAAGTATGCTGTTCACCGCTTGTGTATGGTGGGGGAGAGGGCAGAAAGGTTGATTATAAATTTACCACGTTAATAAATGCAAAATATGATGCAGGTGCGACCCGGAACCAAGGTTGAGGAAAGGGCAAGGCAACAGGCTTCCTGATTTTTTTTTTCGGGGATGGTCCTCTATGGCTACTCAACGGGAAGGAAGCGAAAAGCGGAAAAAAGACACATAGGCAGAGGCGATTTGAGCAATGGGGAAGCCCCAATCATCTGGCAATCATTACCGTTTTAAGGGGAATCCTTCTCTGACATTCAACACACATCCACCCCCCCCCCGCATACATTCCCACTCACACACAGAACCGACTTCGCGGCGGCGATTAAAGGGCATCCCCAGCAGCGCCTTTTCCTGCCTCCCGTCAGGTCGCCTCCCCTCATGAGCAGAGCTGTAGCCGGCTTACTCACACACGCAGAGCTCCACCACGTAGGCGTAATAGGACCAGGCCACGACCAGCGCGATGAAGGCCACGGGCACCCACGCCAGCACCTTCTGGCAGCACTTGAGGACGTGCGACGGCGCCATCTTCCCCGCCGTCGAGCCGCCGCCGCCGCCGCCCGCAGGAGCCATCTGCGCCGTTGCTGTGGCTGCCGCTGTTACTACTACTAGTGCCGCCGCGGCCGCCAGCAGCAGCAGCCGCCACCTCTCCGCTCTGGCCGATGCGGCGAAGCCTCCTCTCGGCGCCCGCCCCCGCGCTCCCTTCCCTGCACGCTAAGGGGGCAGGGCCGGCTGCCCGGACGGGCGGCCTGCCTGCCTGCCTGCTGCGCAGCGACTCTTTGAGGACGGCAACAGCCCGACTGGAGCGCTCGAAACAAGGGCTGGGCGGAGAG